TTCTGGGACGTTGACAGTTAACAAAAAGGTTTTTGTCAATGCGACATACTATAAGATACTAGCAGGAAAACCTCGAATCATTTACACCTTCAACCCTCAATGCTGCAGCCTTACTGTCTCGGATTCTGTGAAAGGTTGCATCCTGAGTTTCAATGAGATTACAATATCCCGTATAGTAACCTGTATGGCGTGTTGGTGTAAGACTTTGGAAGTTGTAAGCGCAGCTGTGGAAAGCAACCCAAACCCGAGGTAGACCTTGAAGCTCTATACCTTGAGCCGTACATGCGGTCAATTCCGGCATCACCACTTACCGGAGCACGCACAAACATTCGCACATGCACCTGGAAAAGAGACAAGCGCAGCTCACTGGGCTGTTTCAGTTTTCAGGTGCCGTGAGGTTCAAAGGCCATGTATCTTGGCAGAAAGGTCAGACAAGTTTTTGTTTCCCACTTCGGTCCTTTCCTTGATTGACATGACCCACAAATACGGTAAGTCGGACACTGGTGTTTCGGGTTAAGATTAGGGTTTAGTGTTGCTGTGTTTGCCATGTATCGTTTCAATTCACATGCCCTTACCACTACGGAGTTTTCAACACCATGAGGTAGCGAGGTGGGGTGCGGTTTGCTCGATCTACATGAAGTTTCCATATCGTCTAGACTTATAGGGCGGAACCCTGGAATACAGTTAATTCAGCAGTTGCGTCACGGCACGCTGTCTGCGGTTAAGGTTGAATTCCGCGATGTCATGGCGACGACTGTGCGGGGAGGACTCCGGACAATCCGTTGGACCATCCGCTGTGCCAACTGGATTTTAGCTTTCGAAATGGGCGCGGCAGGTTGTGAGGAACCGCGGCACTAAGAAATCCAAATCGAGGCATCACTTTATGGTGATGGTGCTGGTGAAGATGGTGAAGATGGTAATGCTTGTGTTGATGAGGATGTTGTTGAGGCTGATGATGATGATGATGATGATGATGACAGAGATGGTGATGGTGACTGCGATGATGATGATGGAGATGAGGATGATGGTGATGATGATGGGGATGAGGATGAGGATGATGGGGATGAGGATGATGATGTCGATGATGATGCTGATGATGATTGTCGTGAAACTGCCCGCTCATGGCATTTGTTGGTTAAGTGTGTAAGTGTGTGTGTGTGTGTGTCGGAGTCTCTGTGTGGCTGCTTGTATGTGTGATGGTCCGTGTATTCTGGGTGACGGTAATGCTACTCACGAAGACGATATTGGTGAACAAAGCCAGAAACCTGTGATGGCCAATTTCATCCAGCGGGGCATGGATGTGGAGATGATCTGGGTTGTGATGAGAATGAGTGTCGTGCTTGCCGTGACGATGAAATCCATGACGATGCTGAGGATAATGCGAGGGCTATGACGCTAAGGGTGATCAGGCCCGTCATGTTGATGTCATGGCGATGGTGCAGCTGTTGTTGATTATCGTGAGCACATCAGAATGACCCTTCCTTGGCTGACGAGCTCGATAGACCCGCGTCAGGATTGGACTTGTCCAGTAAAGGAATATAGGGGTCGGCATAATTCTGCACTATCAAAACTTGGTGTTCTTCTGGTTGACTCTTGGGACTTTGACTTTTTGGGTTTCTATATGAACTATAATAAGGAGGCTAAAAGTTTAACTTTTAGGAGGGGTTCAGAAGTCAGCCAAGAAAAGCCTATGGCATCCATTCTGGCCCCTGAGTTATGTGAGCAAGAGTTGCCTTGGTCTCTTGGTCTCAAGGAGCTGCAGTCAGCTGCATTTTCATGGGTGTGGAAGCTTGGCCAAAGCTTTGAATAAGTAATAATTAATAGCATGCCATACCAGGGTTTTGGGTAATTGTATTCCATGAAAGCCCCGATGAGCTAAATTGTAGTACAGTGACCCTGAAACCTGAATCGAATTCCCTGTGGTGTATGGGTTCATAGTTTGCAAGATTTCGGACATTTCTTTTGAAGCTCTCCGAAGTCTACACCAGGCCCTACGCAGAAGAGCTCCAAAGCGCCACAGCATAGTATAGGCGGGCCTTAATACTTAGAACAGGGTTTTGCGGTCCATTATACTTTAATGATAATAATGATAGTAAGGAACCCCCAAAATAGTATTGGTAATTCTTTAGGCCCCTACAATCGGTCTGAAGACTCAATGCCTCTTGCCCACCGAAGCTGCCTCTGTATGCGCTGGTCTGGGCTTGGGGGATCTTTGTCTGTAACTGAAACAGTCAACCCGAAGATGAAAAGGGCATTATCCCGCTTCAGCAGAAAGCCAGAAGCCGCCCCCCCCCCCCCCCCCCCCCCCCCCCCCCCCCCCTCTCCTGCCCCCCTCCTCCTTCACCCCAAAAACTGCTTAAAACCCTAAAATCCTCAACCCTAAACCCACCCATAACTCCACAGCTTTGCTCGTGCGAAGTGTGTGGAGAAAGAGTCAGTGCACTTTAAACAACAAGACCCATAACTGGCCCATAAACCAGAAATTCAAAAAGATTCTGGGCGTCCCCAGCGAACACAGGACTCCTCGTTTCATCAATGTCACGTTTCGGTTCGGTACGGTTGGCGTTGTCTTCGGTTTCTTTCGGGGATGTGCCTGTCGGTCCGGTCCGGTTCAGTGCCACCCACCTCCCACCCACACCTCCCGCTTTCCTAGCCTCCCACCTGCTGTCGCACCTGGTTTGTCTCGTGCTTGCGTTGATGCACACCTCCGCCTCACAATCGTGGTTTACCCCCTCCCGGCTCCCACCTCCCACCACCCTCCATCCACCTCCCACCTCACCACCGCCCTCCCCCCACCTCCCGCCTCCACCTCCCACTTTCCACCTCCGCTGCCCTCAACCTCCCACCTCCCTCCCACCTCCCCTTCCGAACCTCCCCTCCCGAACCTCCCAAGATCAAGAGCCATGCACGCATTCACAACGTTCCAAAGTCCTGCAGATGTGACAATGTGTGTACTTAGAACTCACATGTAAGTGCAGGAGAGCTCTAGCCCAAATGCTGCGAGCTCTGAGCACTGGAGCCCTACCACCCTAAATTGTCCGCAATACCCTGCTGGTTTACCGAGGTATAGCGCGGTGTAGCCTTTCGTGTGTTTGGGATAGCTCCTTAGACAGAGTTCTTGCAGCTGTTGGCTTACAGCTCCAGTTCAGGTCAGGCCTGTGACGATCATCAATGCCTATGCGCCAGACGGAGGGGTGGCATGGCACAGGGCCAAGGGTTTGGAGCCAACGGCTTGCAGATTAGGAGTTTTGGGGTGTAGAGCCGCGGGATTGTTTTGGAGAGTCGATCGGAACACGTGGGATTCCGGATTCCCGCTTCGTTCTCGGTGGGACCTGTCTTTGAGCTGCGCACGAGCATGATGCAGGGTTTTGGCATTTCGTCACTTCTTCAGGCGAACTCCTAAAAGCATCAGCCACATGATGGCCCATGTCGTTAACATCATCGTCAGGTTCAGCAAAAGTCCCAGCATGGTCATCTAAAGAAGTTTAGCAGCCGCAAAATTGTGGTCATGATCGCCACCGCCATCAATTGTACTTAACAGAACCTACTTCCAACCGCATTAACCCTTATGGGAGTTTCCGAAAAAAGGGGGCCCCAACATAGCACCCTAGATAGTAGGATCCTTATTATAAGGACCCCCCAAATAAGGTATCCCTAGTTTTCGGAAACTCCCTTATGAAAGCGGGAAGCGGAGCCGGAGTAGACCGAAGGTGTTCTGTATGCAACGGGCTTTCAGCGCTTCGTACTCCGGCTGCATGAGGAAATAGCGCCCGAGTATCAGCATATAGCGAAATATGTAGTACATTTTGTTCAATATAGTACATTTGATATTTAATGATATGATATATTATAGATTTTTACTGGTTCTATGTATTTTCAACAACAAAACACAACCATAGAATATGATGTATAAAAAGTCAAAAAATTGAAAAGTTGTATATAATATAATTGAGTATTATAAGACAATATAAGAAATATAGTAAAATGATAATGTAACATGTTGTATTATATGTATGTATACATATATATATATATATATATATATATATAAACTCTTGGACAGGTTAACATCATATTATATCATAAAACATAAAATAATACAGTATCATGTGATATAAGATAGTAGAATACAGTAAAATATGAAGTAATATAATATCATTAACATATCTTGGGCGCCCAAGTATTTACTAACAGACTACGATAATGATGCTTGGACCCTTTGGGTCACGAACAAATCCAACTCTTTCTGTGTCCCTTGGGCTTAGCGGTCTGCGGTTGAGGGTTTGGGGTTAGGTTGTGACAACGTGCTCGTGGTAGCGATGACCACGACGGCAACGATGATGATCAGGATGTCGACGGTGGCGGTCATCAGTTTGGAGGTAGTCACGACTCTCGAAAGTAGTACATGGTGCTTCGGGTGCAAGCGCACGTTTTTCGAACAACTGAATGTTCTGAGTGTGCATGGGCTGTATGCGCGGGTTCTTGAAGGGCCTGTTGGACTTCTCAGCATTTGCGTCAAGTCAGACCTACGCAGAAGGCGTCTCGAACTGCTGAAGCTCTACACATGCCTGCCATCTCTGTTGATAGTGATGATGATGATGATGGTCATCACTATCATCATCATGTTGAGACCGAGTGCCGCTATCTCCCCGCCAGCACGGCAGTCCGAAGCGTGATGTTCTGAAGTAGAATTGTGCATATGATATGATAAAACACGGTATGTAGTATAATGGACTGTAATACAATATACTAAAATCTAACATGAAAAGAAATTGCCAAGGTCCGACAGTTTCTGAAATCTCAAGGCCGGATTCCTGAACCTTCAAACACGAGAACCGCAGGACAGAAATCCATGCACTAGCAAAAGCAAGTCTGTGAGGGGAAGACCATCAGCCCTACCAAAAGGTCTGCACGAGTATCTTCCACTCTGGGTTTGGGGTGGTTTAGGGGGTGTATAAAGGATTTAGGATGATGTAGGCTATATAGGGCTTAGGTTTAGGATGGTCTTGCGGGTTCAGTCGGGTGTGACGATCAGGCGTTTCAAGCTTGTTTGTGGCTTTAGCGGCCCTTTGAATGAGGATGATGACATTCATCAACACGACGGCGCCGCAGATCCAATGTGCGACACGACTCAGCATCATCGATGTCTCAGTGACAGGCCGGTTAATTGAATCAGCAGACTGCTGTGCTTGACAGTGCTTTTTGCTTGCGAGATGTCTTGTAGCATTGCAAAATCGGCTCCCTTTAAAGCAGGTACTGTACATTGTTAATGGGAACCCAGGTTTGCAGCAGCCTCCTGTGAATATGACAGGGCAGTTTGCGTACACTTCTGTGACCACACTTATACGCCAATCATCGAGTTCCAAGAGCGTCTGCCAGTTCTTTCCTCAGCAATAACTCGTAGACTCGATGAGTCAGCGGCAAGCAGGTTGGATGCCAACGTGACACATCGTAGTGAGAAATGGCTACGAGCAGATCATAGCTGCGCCATCAGGCACAACGGCTTCATTGATGGCGCCGAAAAGGACGCACATGCAGGTTTCAACAAATATAGAACTATGTGTGCATGTGATGATGTGTATGTATACATATATACATATATAGATATACGTGTATGTATGTATCAATGTATATATATATATATATATATATATGCATGTTTGTAGGTCTGTAATTATGTATGTGCAATAATATCAACACACACATACACCGACATGCACGCACGCACACACACACACACACACACACACACTCACTCACTCACTCACTCAATCACACCCACACAGACACACACATGCACCCACCCACCCACCCACACACACACACGCACGCACACGCACACACACACACACACCCACACCCACACCCACACCCACACCCACACCCACACCCACACCCACACCCCCACCCACACCCACACCCACACCCACACCCACACCCACACCCACACCCACACCCACACCCACACCCACACCACACACACCACACCACACCACACACACCACACACACCACACACACACACACACACACACACACACACACACACACACACACACACACACCACACACACACACACACACACACACACACACCACACACACACACACACAACACGCACGCACGCACGCGCACGCACGCACGCACGCACGCACGCACGCACGCACGCACGCACGCACACACACACACACACACACACACACACACACACACACACCCGCACACGCACGCACACACACACCCGCACACGCACACACACACACACACACACACACACACACACACACCCAAACACACACACACACACACACACACACACACACACCCGCGCGCACACGCAGACCCGCCCGCGTGCGCGCACATGTCCTCCATCTTGCGAGGAAGATCGAGAGATTGACCTGTGACAACGGCTTGGAAGGAGCCAAGAGCGAGACAGAGAGCTGCTGTGCCGGACTCCCCGCTGTTTGCGTTTCTAGTTCGGACGAGTTCCTTCAACTGCAGCTTCCGATGCACTGCTGCCAGTTGATGCGAATTGACTGTGTTGCGTTGGTACTCACAACATCTCCTTCCCCAGAAAGACCAGCAGCTGACAACCCTACGCCTTAAACCCTACACCCTGCCCCTGTTTCCGGCCCTGCTCCAGGATACCTGGATAACATGGAAACGGGCTGCCACAGATGCAGGCTGGTTATGCAGAGTGGAGCCTGAAGTAATTACGGCCAATCATGAACAAATCCCCTCTCTTCCAGGGCCATATAATATTCGGATCCCCATGTCATTTCCTGTAAGGGGGGAGGGTGGAGTCTACAGTGTTCACCGAATCTTCTATATTACCCACAGCACAAAAAGCTCCCTCAACCCAAACCTATCAGACCTACCGTAGAAGTCAGTGAGTTGGAATATCACTATCCTCATGCCCTTCAGAAAAAGTATAAGGAATCCTAGCACCAATAATCCAAAATCCATGTTCCAACTTTCTGGGCATCAACTAGAAACCTATAAGCCCTGTAAATCCTTTAAGCCGTGTAAGCCCTAACGTTACCCATAGGCCCCAAAGTAGTTCCTTTTTGGGATTACCTTCTAGGGTTCTATATATGAACCCCCAAAAAGGAACTACTTTCGGGCCTTAGGGTAGACCCAACTTCTCAACCCAAAAGCCCGCAAGGCCGGGCTTCTTCCAATTGCAGGGCGGTCCTGAGATCAGGATCCTCGGCCGAGTGCAAGCGCGTGCAGTGAATGCACGAGGGCTTTGGGATTTAAGGTTTAGGGCTTCGGGTTCAGGGTTTAGGTTTGGCATAGGGTTTAAGGCCTAGGGTTTGGGGCTCATGGTCACAAGCCCTAAACCCTAAACCCTCACAAGTGAGGGTGATTGGCCCCAGTGCCTCGGCCCTGGAAGCAAGCTTTGGATTTGGGGGTTTAGGGGTTTAGGGTTTAGGGCTTGGGGCTTAGGGTTTAGTTAGGGTTTAGGGCTTAAGGTTTAGGGTTTAGGGTGTTTAGAAGTTTAGGGTTTTGTGCGGAACCCTTGCCCCAGTGCTTGACCCGATAGGTTTTCACTCGAGAAGCACATGCGACCGGGACAGAGAAGAGCTTAACATGCGATCCTCCAATCCTATAAACCCACGAGTCCTGAGCTTCAATATCCTAGCAATTAACCTCCCAGACCTCCAAGCCTCAAAATTCAAACATCCTAAACCCCAGTATCCTACATCCCTAGAGTCCTAGAGCCCTTAACTATTAGCCTAAGCCCTGATTTTTTTTTGGAGCCGAGGAACGACAACCAGATCACCGGCCACAACTGCATCCAGGCCTTGCCGAAAGGGTGCCGATTTTCCCAGCTTCAGGGTTTAGCGTTTAGGACGTAAGGCGTACTAAGCCCTAAACCCTAAGCCTCAAACGGTTCAGGCCCTGGCAAACAGTAAACCCTAAACCCTGCACCCTGATGCTTCCTACTGCCGATGTCATAAATCCTGCATTACCCATAATAATGTATGTATATATATATATATATATAGCATTATTCCCATAGTTTGGGGTCCTTAGAGTCATCAACCGTACCTCTTTGAAGTCGGAGTCAAAGAGATCCTGGTGCTTGGGGACCAGACCGCACCCCACAACACCACTCTAGTTAACATCGCCCCTTTCTCAGAAAGCCCTTCGGTTAATGATACAAATCTCGCATTCCTTTAAGGACCCGAAACATTGTGAATAATGGTATATTCCATATCATGGGTAATGCAGGATTTATATCATCAACAGTAGTTACAATCGCCCCTTGCCTAAAGCCCTATGACTACAAGACCCTTATGGAACCCTGTAGTGGAACCTGAAAGAAACCCAACCTGCAAGCCCCTAGCCCTAAATCCCAAACCCCAAGAATCCTATATATATATATATATATATATATGTATATAATATAATATAATATAATATAATATAATATAATAATATATATATATATATAGAGAGAGAGAGAGAGAGAGAGAGAAACCCTGCAACCCTAAAGACCTTTAACCCTAAATCCCAAACCCTAAAAATCCTATATATATATATATATATATATATATATATATATAAACCCAGCGAGCTCCTAAACACCCTAAGCCCCGAAACCCTGTTGAGCACTATCAACCCCAAGCCCTCGGCCGCAAACCCTATCAGCCCTACCCTACCGTTCCTTTTGGGATTCCCTAAAGGATCCCTTGCAAACGGAGCCTTGAAAGGAGCCCTTAAAGAAGCCCTACCCTACCGTTCCTTTTTGGGATTCCCTAAAGGATCCCTTGCAAACGGAGCCTTGAAAGGAGCCGTTCCTTATGAGATTCCCTAAAGGATCCCTTGCAAACGGAGCCTTCAAAGGAGCCCTTAAAGAAGCCCTACCCTACCGTTCCTTTTGGGATTCCTTAAAGGATCCTTGCAAAAGGAGCCCTTAAAAGGAGCCGCTCCTTATGAGATTCCCTAAAGGATCCCTTGCAAACGGAGCCTTGAAAGGAGCCCTTAAAGAAGCCCTACCCTACCGTTCCTTTTTGGGATTCCTTAAAGGATCCTTGCAAAAGGAGTCCTTAAAGAAGCCCTTTTTGGGATTCCTTAAAGGGTCCTTGAAACGGAGCCTGCCCTTAAAGCCCGAAGAGCTTCGTTGACCCGACAGGCACCCCAAGGCTCCGAGCAGATCGATCAAATTCTTCAAATCCGGCCCGGGCCTTGGACTTACCTTTGGTTAGGGTTTAGGGATTAGGGTTTAGGGATTAGGGTTTAGGGATTAGGGTTTAGGGATTAGGGTTTAGGGATTAGGGATTGGGGTTTAGGGTTTAGGGATTGGGGTTTAGGGTTTAGGGATTGGGGTTTAGGGTAGTAGGGAATGGAGGAATGGGGTACAATCATAACTACTATTACTACCACTCCTCCATTCCCTACTAACCAAAGGTAAGTGCAGGGGTCATCGAGTTTGGGGTTGATGGACATGTTTCTTTTTTTTTTGGGGGGTGGGTTCTTGGGGTTCAGGGTTTAGGGTCCCTTGGGGTTTAGGGTTTAGGATCCCTTCAGGGTCTAGAAGTGAGGGCTGGCGGCCAAGGGTTCGGGGGGATTTGCAGGGCTCTGGGCTAGGATTGGGGTTGGGGGTGTTCGAAAGCCTGCAAGGGGGGGGGGCTATTGAGTGTGAGGTCTGGGTCAGCATCTGCTTGCTTGAGGTGCACCCTAAGCACCCTGAAGTCTCACGTCCTAAATCTTCGCACAGGCCAGGTTTCATGGTGGCAAGAAACAACTTGTCCACCAGCCTACGCTGTCCCAACGTGCGGCCTGGCCGGATGAAGATGGTCGTGATGCAGGGGCCTGGAGAGTTAGAATATGGTTCCGGGGTCTCCTTTTAAATTTGGTTATAGCTCTACCGCCATCTTAAGTTTTGAGGCCCTAAGGTTGCGTTTCGGGCTTGGGGCTTCTGGGCTTACCAGAATTGATAGTTTATACAGCCTGCAGGATTTATGGGGCTTATCATCGGGTTAGTAGGGTGTAATTAGGGCTTCCGGGTGTCAAGCTTGGGACTTAGGTTTTAGGGTCTACGCTGAGGGATTTGGATGAGTCTGAGGATCACGTAGGAATGTTTTTGAAACCCACAATATCCGCTGTGTAAGCGCCTCAGTCATTGGAGTTGGGGTTCACACATTGACACACACAGTACCGTTCTCGAGAAAGACTCTCAGGGGATGTTATCTCCATTGCTCGTTCCCATTGTAACATACTTTCGTCATGCACTATGAGGAGGTTTTCATTTAAACCCTAAACCCTAAACCCTCAAACCCAAAACCCAAAACCCTAAACCTTAGCATCAACGAGACCCCCGCATTGCCTTGAGGATGGCCTGCCCTGGCGGAAAGCTGATGGCAGACCAGGGAGTTAGGGACATGTGCGAGCACGGCTACGAAGGTGGAGCCTGGAGGATCTTTATTGGGATGTTCCCTCGGTTTGGGGTAGGTTTGGGTTGCTGATCGGACCAAGTCGGTGCACTCCAGGTTTAGGGGCTTAGGGGTTTTCAGTCGGGCTCTCAGCCTCTGCGGGCAGTCGGCTACGTCACCGCAACTGCAAAACTGAACCCTGTAATGCCCCCCCAAAACCCTAAACTTTATCCGCAATCTGCTTCCGCAATCTGCTTGCCACTGGTTCAGGGTGCACAGTGTAACATTCAGCTTGGGTATTCATCGGAGCTGTCAAGGTTTGAGGTCCGTGAGCTCATCAAACCCTAGATGCGAAATCCATGCAAGCTTCGAAGCCATCACGAACACGTTGCACAGATATCATACAAGGAGACAGTGATAGGTGACTGATCGTGAGAGCGACAGAGAGAGAGAGAGAGAGAGAGAGAGAGAGAGAGAGAGAGAGAGAGAGAGAGACAGCCACAGAGAGACAGAGAGCAAAGGGAGAGGCAGAGAGAGGGACAGATAGAGAGACATTCGACAAATCACGAGCAAAGCATGCCTTTTTGCGAAGCTCCATGCAAGTTCTGAGATCTGGTGTGCTGATCTTGCTAAAGTCCCCAGATGCGAACCTGGTTCAGAATACGCCACACATTCTTCCCACGTGGGTTTCGAAGCAAACCAAGGGCCAACATTTTGCGCCCAGCAACTGGGCAGGTCGCGGCTGTGTTAACTGCCAGAAGAGCACCCATGGCCGCGTTACAAACAACCCTTTCGAGCCACGGCAGCAGAAGGTCGGATTCCCCCCACGTCTAGACAGTCACGTCAGGGGATGCTTCGGATTCTTCCTGTCTGTGCCGAGATGATTGAATTCAATTGGGCCTTTTTTTGAATCGGTGCGATATGTATATGTGCATACACACATGTATCTACATATCCTCGTACAATATTTTGTGAAGGTTACAGAGGATCATGATTACAAGCTCTAGCATAGGATTCAGAACGGTGATTTATAATATCAGTGTAATGTGCATACATACACATATTTCATCATACATGGGCTCGCCTTGCAGAGTATCTGTTGTCTAGCGTGTCACTATCACTATGGCAGATGTATGTTGTAACATCAAATAATATACCAGGTTCTAACCGAGTACAGTGGAGTACACCACGGTCTCATAGGTTATAGCGAAAGAGAATAGAATTTAGAATCATGTAGCACACATACGTACACACATACATACATGCATGCATGCATGCATGCCTACATACATGTGTATGCTACCCCGCATTGATCTGCCGTTTTCGTCTTTGTGAAGCCAAAACCAATCCAACGCGCTTCTGTGAGACGAAGTGGAAGCGGTGTGGACGCGGAGTTGTCAGATGGTGTGGCTTCGTGACTAGAAACGCTGCAGGAGGAAGGTATACCTACCGAATTACGCTTGTTCACTACCCATTCCGGTTACGCGTGTTTGTATGATTAAGCGTAACAGACTGAACACTCGCACCCTCGCTTACACTGATCGGTTATGTATGCATTACTTGAAGAGCATTCTGCCATGTTCATTGTGTTGGTTTGGCAGCTGTGCGCTTTTTCAATCGGCTGGCTAATCCAAGCCGTAGCTTCGACAGATGAGTTTCTATATTCTTACCCCAATGACATAGTGCACAGCATGGTGCAGTATGTGGTTGTTATTGTGGCACGAGAGACACAATGTGGTTCAACTGAGCGAGTGGTAAAGGTTTCCTATCGCCCCGAATCCTGGAATCCACTGAAACCTTGTTGGTGAAAACATCTTCGTTTCGTCTACAGGCTCGGCTTACCTGTAGTGTAGCAGACTTGGCAAGTTTTGCCACATGGTCAGAATGCACAGCATCTATGCAATCACACACACACACACACACACACGCACTGACGGTCGCATGTGCGTAGGTTGAATGTGTACATGTCACACTGCAAGTTCTACCCAAGTACCGGGATGCTGCACCCACTAAGGCCTTACAGCCAACGCATTGGAATTTACAATGGATCAGGCTTTCGGCAGAACTGTGTCCGACGGATCCTCTGTACATATGAGGACGTGGTTGGCAAAGCACACAATATCATATAAGATCATGCACTATGATAACCTAGAAGGAGAACAGAAAAGAAAAGAACAGGATAGGCTTAGACTAGAACAGCACGCAACATCATTTTGTGCGTCTACATATAAAGATGTGGATAGCCAACTCGACAGACAGATAGCTAGATAGACAGATGGGTAGGCAGTTCGTAGATAGTTACACTTTTGGAAACAAAACGGGGGACCCTGGGCGTGCGCTTTTCCAGCAGTTTTAGCGCTAGCTTCAGCATCATTGACGCAATACTTAATGAGAGAGGTACGCTCCCCGCAATAACGGAGTTTTGCTGCAGATGACACCTCGAAAGAACCCCAAAAGAACTAAAAACCCAAAAATTATTTAAAAAAACAAAAGAACCAAAAGAACCAAACACAAACAATTGCCAGATACTCCTGGGCTGAAAATTCCATGGCCGGAGAGTGTCGGATTTTTGGATTGTTTGGTTATTATTTTTGTTTGTTCTTTTGTTTTTTTTTTTGTGTTTTTTGGTTCTTTGGTTTTTGTTGGGTTCTTTTGTTGGAAGTTGCTGCCAACCCAAAAAAACATCAAAATACGCGCGCGCGCGCCCAGGGTCAGTGGCACACATTGGGGGGCAATGCACTCTCACGGCAAGGCTCGTAGACAATGCACATGTATACGTGTGAGTACTGCAGTTGGTCTAGTTTAAAGCTGTTACATTGTCACTCTTGTAATTAGGCTTATCGGCGTCTGCGGGATACAGCGACCAATTATTTGTTGAGCTCCGTTTGTTTTACAGCAACTACCATTTTTACTGTTAATACGGTGACTATTAAATGTCCCTGAAATATGCAGGTCGATATTGATTCGCCGATATTTCGGTGTTTTTTGCAGGAAAAACACCAGATGAAGTGTATAGTACTGGTGATCATATTGTCGTAAATTACTACAGTTACTTAATCTTCTTTCAATCTCACATAGGCTCTTCACAGCATACTAGAAAACTTGGATGTGCATAGAAACATGTGTGTGTGAAATATGTATGTATGCATATATATATATATATATGTATATAGGTTCACATACGTGAATGTGTATGAGTACCTATTTTTGAGATGTATGTGTAAACTGTGCGGATGTATACATAAAATACAAAGACTGTCGTATGCTAAACGTTCTTTTACTTCGAAGTAAAGTTGAAGGCATAATCAGCTAATCAGGCTTACTTCATTTGTTTGCACAGTTACTGATTTGCTTATCACCACGTTACTGCATAGGCAACCTATTTACCAGTTTCAAGTACTGCAATTGGATACCACTAGAAGTTTCATCTTTAACTTCATACTCGTTGTTACAACACTGGTTTGGTATTGTCGATCTTAGGAGTCTTGAACATGTCTTATCCTGTTGTGTATAAGTGTCTACATGAAGTCGATCACTTGGAACACCGGTGCACATCTATACAACACACTGGCCAACAAACCTAAGCTTAAAAAGCGCATTATGTTTGTAGGATCATTCACATGTACATTTTCTGCTATAGGATTTGTACATTGATTTACATGTTCAGCCTGTCCACATGTAACATGCCTTCTATATTTCGGTTACTCTTCTGAACATGACCATAGCTAAAGTATGACAAGTACATGTATGTGCCACCTTACAATAGACTTGTTGCTGGTAACCTATAGAACATCGGCTTAGTGTGGCTTGAAAAGTATCGTGTATCTAGTGCTATTACTGTCTGTATTTGGGTTGAATGTTCGGTTACTATCTTAAACACGTACCGACAAGAGCAATGCAAAGGGCATGGTTAGTATTAATAACACGAAGATGAGCAAACAAATTAGTATTTACAGATCAAGAAGTCTGTACTACATCTACAAGCATGCTCCGCGCACGCATATGTGTATACAGTATACATCTATGTATGTGCATTGAAACGTCAGAATTTGTCAACCAATGTAAGGCATTGTATATACAAAGTGTACATGTATGCAAAAATATTTACATCTAAATATAAATACATATATATATATATACAGATATGCATATATATATGTATATATAAACATGCCGAGCTCTCTACCATGCACAATTTCACACATACATGTGTATATATATATATATATATATATATATATATATCAGTCTTTGTATGTAGGTATATATATATATATGCATATATATATATATATATATCCGTACACATATACTCTTCATATATATATATATGTGTATACATATATATATAATTTATGTTCATATACAAATACACATATATGTGATTGCAACTTATGACATATTTGGAAATAATACAATAGAACAGAATACTAGTATCCATGCTTCTGTGTCCTCAGCCCGATAAAACTAACGAAGCAAATCATATGATGCAAACAGTATGTACTGAGGTCCAAACTTGTTATAATGCAAAACACAAATAGCAGTATTGGTACTAGATATTGCAGGGTGCCGGAAAAGTCTTATACTTTCCGTTAGCTCGAGTCGGGAAGATCAGCAACTAGGGCCGTGTCTCTGGTCGCTTGACCCTTAGACTGGACATATGACCAACAAACCAACTAGCCATAACATGAATGCGGGCACGAGTGGGTCTCTGATGGATTCTATAAAGCGCTTGTACCATCACAATTTTAGCATAAAGCAAGCTAGCAGCTAGCAACAAATAACTTCAACAAAGCGCACGCCCACAGTCCCCCGGACTCCAAAACGGGGGACCTATGTATGTATGTATATATATATATATATACATGTACATATAGATATGTGTACTTATTTGTAGGTTGATTTATCGGCAGAGAGATAACCAGGGAATAGGCTACCGTCCCCGAACCAAATCACAAGATAGTAACCTCACCCAGGCTTGTAGGGCAGTGAAACTTGATAGCGCTTTAGAACCTGAGGCTTGCGCTGCCTGTGCCGAGAGGCCCTTTCGCAAGGCCACAGGGGTGTGCGGGGTTTCTAATTCGTCGTTTCACGCCGTGGGGCTTGGGTTTTAGGCTTCAGGGTTTGTGGTTGCGTCATTGTTATTTCTCCGCCCGATCGTTTTATGGGTTCCTGTTGCAGATTTGTCTGGGCAGTTGGTATTGTCGAGATGATCCAGCATCCTCTGTTGAGCAAGCCCATGCAAAACACAAGACAGAAAGACCGTTCATACATAGAATCTCAGGTAATATAGAAACTCAGGTAATGGGTAGATATATACAAATCTAGAACTACACATGTCTGTTTACATATATATATATATATATGTTTATGAACACATGCATATTTATATATACACATGTACATATATCTAGATTATGTACAAATGTGTTTCATTCCGAAGCTTCCGAAGTCAGCGCAAGGTCTTTCAGTGGACTTGGTTCATCCTCCAGTCTCTCGGTTCGGCTAACTGGCCTAGGATCCTAGAAGTTTGCTTCGAGGCTTCACCGGGAAGCCTTCATGTTCGGTTGATCTGAAGGTTTAGGCGTTTTGGGTTTAGGGTTTAGGGTTTAGGGTTGAGGGTTTAGGGTTTAGGGTTTAGGGTTTAGGGTTGAGGGTTTAGGGTTTAGGGTTTAGGGTTGAGGGTTTAGGGTGAAGTTGACTGCCAAAAACCGAAGCTTGGGCAGCCGTCTGTGGATCCTGAAGCTCTGAGTGGGAGCCTTGTCCCTTTTCATGGTTGCCCCAACAGAATAAACAGACCGGCTAGTAGACCTTCTTAAATAATACCTACTAAGGGATATAGGTATAGGGCTCTGTCTATTATTTCTAAAAGGACAAGGGTGGTGGGAAGGGCACAATTCGACAGTCAAGGAAGCTGCTCGCGATTTACCTAAACTCTAAACCTTAAACTAGAACAGCCCAGCCTCCAAAAGGAGGCCGCTGCATGTTGTGAAATCACCTCACGTATGTCCCGACATCTCTTCAGGAACTCGGGAATCTTTGCGATATCTGCATCAGGTGGGCTTCCCGACTCTATTCAAGCGCTTCGGGTTGTTCGCATTATAAGAGCAGGGTTTAAGCGCCCTGTTCTGTGTTTATGGGACTCGCCCCGACCGGATATGATACATAGAGTTATCCAAAGCCCAATGTGGCTGTCGATATTACGTAGTCCCAAACCTCAGTGAAGCCCAGCTTTCAACCACATCCACTTGGGTCGAGACCCTTGCGCTGTTCAAGTGGAGTTGGGGTTGTAGGCACTGTTTGCGTGTGTACAAAGACGGCCAGTGTCTGTAGATGAAGACGGTCCACATCACGGCAACTGTTACAACAACAACTACTACTACTGTACTGCTACTGCTGCTGCTACTACTACTGCTACTACTACTACTACTACTACTACTACTACTACTACTACTACTACTACTACTACTACTACTACTACTACCGGGATGGTCGTCATCGTTATCAGTATTACTTGCTTTCGCCCCCATCCGAGCCTGCCAGACCTAAACCCGTTGAACGCCCAAGGCGAATGCTCATGACATTTTGCGCACCGAAGTTTTCGACCCGGAAGCCTGCACCATATATCTTTTGCATAATGCTCGAAGCCTTTCAGGCCTTGGAATCAGATGCTCTGTTCTGCAGGTGTGCTGATGGTCGAGCAGGAGAGCTACAAGAGCACCATCCTCACCAATCAGCTCATGTGGCTCGAGGGCACTATGGCATCGTGAACATACTTCGTTTGATGTCGTGTTAAACCCTAAACCCTAGACCCTCTCAAAGGTTGCAACCAGTGGAAAGATCGAGCAGAAGCAGGTACAGGTTTCGAAGTATCGCCACTGTCGCCATGATCATCACCATCGCCGTCGTGGTGGCTACAGTACGTTGTCATCATCATGCTGGTAGTTGCAATCATCGTCTTCCTATCCCCCGTAACTTTCACCATCAACATCATGATGATGATCATCATCATTGATGCTGTTATCACCATTTTCATCACTGTGGGCACTGCCGAGGCTGTACGCTAATGCTTGCCCCTAGACGCTACATACCGTAGTAAAGGAAATGGTGTAACAAGACGAGTCTTTCAAGCCACGGAACTGGCTGCATTGCCGAGGGCAGCAGCGTTCATCTATGTCCGGGACACGTTGAAGACAGCAATGATACAGGTAAGCTGCCTGCTGCCATGCCCACATGTCTCGTGAACAAGTTTGCCCAGAAATCAACTATATGGTGGCGTCATGACTTGGAAATGGCGCTCATGCTGCACCCAGGTCCTATGTCACTGTCTCCCTGCCGGCAACCGACTTAGAGTTCGGCTTGCTTTCTGACATGCCGACATACAGTAGCCGTTCGGAAGGGGGTTGCATGGCGAGGCTTTTTGACAGTCCAGGTAAACTTAGTTGGATTATTTGGCATGGTTGCTGATTGCTGCCCGACAGTAGTCAGACCATCCTTGGTCAGCCAGATGTCTCGCCACCGAGGTGCTCACTGCCGTCATGTACTCCCAGACATTCCGGAACACGGCAGAAATCGTTCAGGACGCCAGTGACCCGCTGGTGGGGTGGAACGTGGATTTCGGATTTTTGGGCAAACTTTCAGAGGTTACCGACAGCGAGAGATGACGACACTCGAGCTTTGCGAATGCCACTGCCTTCTACGTGCGCAGCATGATTTCCCACGCCCACTCAGCAAGTGTCGCGGAAGCCAGTACTAGCATCAGTAATAACGACAGTCACAGTCACCAACACTCGCGCAAGCAGCAGCCCAGGCCGTACCTATTCTTCCTCCACCACCACCGCAACCAGCGCTGAGACCAAAACCACCAGCACTGCTACGACCACCGCCGCAGCACCCACCCCCAACCCTCCCCCGCTACCGCAAGCACATCTGTTTCAGCAATAGTGGCAACAACAACCGTATAGGGTTTTATATTATGTATATATAGATAAGTGTGTATATATATATGTGTATATATATATATATGTATATATGGGGTCGAGGATTTTGGAGTTCGGCATTGTGGGTTTTAGGGTCCGGAATACCAGGGGGCTGCCAAGGCGACTGTTACCACAGGAGCAAGAGCGCATGCTGCCTCAAATGCAGCATCACGTTCCTGCCGATGGACTACTGTCATAGGAGGCCAAAAGGGGTTTTAGCCTATGGGGGTTTAGTAGGGATTAAGGTTCCCATAATGGGTTCATAGTAAGGAATCCCTACCCCAAGAATCTTAAACCCCCCTTTTGGCCTCCCATCATACTGTTATTGTTGGTGCTCCTGATGCTACTGCTACTGAGAGTGCTCCTACCGCTACTTCTACTGCTACCGCTGCTCCTGCTGCTGGAGAGCCCCTCAGGAAGGGCCTCGATAGTACTGTACTGACAGTGGCAGAGGACGTCTTGCACACCCTTCAGATTCCCGTGGAGATCGCGGATTCGGGGGGAGGCCTTTCGTGTAGCGATTCCGTGAAGAGGAGCATCAAGAACAGTCATGCTCAGTGGTTCTATGCCTACGCCAGCCACATGAGCAGCATCATCACCTCCTGGCTCTCCCCAGCATGATGCTCGTGCTTGCAGCTGTTGCACTAGCCGAGGTGAAGGACTCTCGGTTCAATGCTTGCTGGGTGCTTCGGCTGCATCGGCGCTGCCATCAATAATCACTACGGTTGCTGGGTATTTAGATTTTGGCTTGCAGGTCCAGCCTCTGATGTCTCACGGCATGCTAATTCGGCGGCCTCTGATCCTGTAGAACTGTGGAAAGACATATCCCAAAGCCTAAACCTCTAAACCCTAAATCCCTGAACCCTAAACCCCTGAACCCTAAACCCCTGAACCCTAAACCCCTAAACCTCTAAACCCTAAACCCCTGAAGCCCTAAAAACCTTAAAACCCCTACAGCTCAAAACCAGGCTACATCGGCCTGGAGAAAACACTCTACGGAACGGATGTGGTCTTCGCTGCCACGGCCCTGTGTCTCATGGCAATTCTCGGATGGCTTCCTGGCTTACCGCCGGGTTTAGGGTTTGGGGCTTTTTGAGTTTAGGGGTTTAAGAATTTAGGGTTTAGGGTGTTTAGAGTTTAGGGGTTTACGTTTTTTAGGGTTTTAGGGTTTAGGGTCTTTAGAGTTTAGGGGTTTAGGTTTTTAGGGGTTTAGGGGTTGAGGGATTAGGGATGGCTTCCGGTGGCTATCATTCGTTGCTTGGAGTTTCGGGCTGAAGTGCTTGGGGCTGAACAAATCAGCTCTTCAGGGCTCAGGGTTTTCGACGTGACGTCAGAGCAAGATGAACCATGCGCGTTTGCACGGTTTAGGGTCTTAGGGGTTTAGGGCTCAAGGGGTTTAGGGTTTCGGTTTCTTTAGGTGCTAAACTTCGAAAAAACTCCACCGGAAACTTGCGAGGCTCTCTGACTTTTGGTCGGCGGTGGTGGTTGGCTTCAACTGCTTCTTGCCGAGGATCTGTTTCTGCCTCGGGAGGCAGATCCGGAAGTGCGCAGGAACGGTTGATAGATCCTACACTTCCTTAAGGGCCCTAAACTATGGGAATAATAATGGTACCTTAAGGACGCTAAACTGTGGGAAGAATGGCATATTCCTTATAACGGTTAACGCAGGATTTATGTCATCAACAGAAGCATGATGCCCACAGCATTTAGAGGTTCCAGGATGATGCTGTTTAAAGTGCAAAACACCTGGATCAATGGAGACGAGGATCGTGCAGAGCGGTGATAATGTTGATGAGGACCATGCAGATGAGGATAGTTTTGCAGTTTCGTGATGGTAGATCGAGACAGCGAAAGAAATGCACGGGCCGTCCACAAGTGCCGCTGACTCAACTTTGTTCAGGATGCTGAAGAACCGTGGGGAATCTCTTTATAGGGCTGGGAATATGATCCTATAGTATCCCCTTAGATAATTTTCCCCGGTCCCCTATTCCATTCCTTGAGCCCGGTTGTCCTGGTCATGCCATCCCTTCAGCAACTGCTGCTTTCTCCTGGGAAAACGCTTATCATGATTGCCATTCATTCTTGTGCAACATCAGATGTGGCAGCAAGCACAGCACTGGAAAAGCTGAGGCTGCTATGCAAGATGTTTCCTACTCGTAGTCCTAAACCTTATAAACCCTAAACCCTCAACATGCTGTTCCGACAGGCATTTGGTGTGCTACCGCATGCTGCCGCAGGCACGGGATGGCGAAATGGTGCAGAAAGTGCATCGATTCAGCAGATGGAGCCCAGAGGCTATTGGAAATCGAATCCGTGAACCTCCTGCCCTGCTGAATAAGGACGTAATTTGCCTAGGTAAGGACGACATAACCTAGAAGCCCTGCAACCTGACCCGAAGCTGGCAAGCAAGGATATGTGACTGCCATCAGACCTCTATGCTGTTATCTTAGCCGGTTTAAACACAAAGACCCGTACATGCATGCGTAATCACGCGCACATATTCGCTTCTATTTAGATGCACGCAGACACATACGTAGTGTGCATGCACAACTCTGCACAAACATACTTGCATGCATCCATGCACATATATACATATATGTATGGACGCGTATGCATCTTTGCATGTATACCTATTTGTTTGTACATACATACATGCATGCATCCATACATGCATACTTGCATGCGTGCCTGCGTGCATCCGTACATACATACATACATACAGATGTATATATATATATATATATATAGATATATATACACACCCATAGAGGGGGGTGTGTGTACACACACTATCGACCGTCATCCACGTATTACTTCCTCGCCAAATGCCGAGTTGAGCTACCTTTAGGTTGCTATTTGCCACTTGGCGCTCGACCCCAACATGCCAGTCGAGATTCCTGAACCCTAAACGACTATCGTAACGGGCAACAAACACCCCAGCTATTAATGCAGAAACAGTGGGAGATGATGTTCCAAACAAAGGATTCATACATAATCCTTTGGTGGAACCTAACCCCTCAGGCTTACCCCAAACCCCTGAAACCCTTCACCAAAGACACAAACCCCTCACTCTTACCCCAAAGCGTACACCCTTAAACCCCTCAGCCCTCGACCACAAAGCCGGACCCCACCAAACCTGCAAACCCCTACACGCCCAAAAAACCCTAAACCCTAAACCAAGCCCTAAACCCTAAACCCTAAACCAAGCCCTAAACTCCGTTGGAGGCCCAGGGAGGTCATTTGGTCTGCGGCTTTGACGAGGATGATCCTCGTTCTCATTTTGTATCAGATGTTGGGTTTCAGGTATCCCCTAAACCCTAAACCCTAAACCTAGGAAAAAGGCGTTCAAAAACAAAAAAACCCTAAACCTATCATCCCTTGCTCTTTACAATGGGTGATGTAGGACTTTAGGGTTTTCGAGTTTAGGGTTTGAGGGCTTGGGGGTCCAAAGTTTGACGGTTTAGGGTCACGTTGAGGCCCAATTAGCTCGGAAATATTTCTAGGTCGTTTAGTTATGTAGGCTGCCATATCGCCCAATTTCCCTGCCTTCACATTCGCCACGCTTTGGAAACTTAAAGTTTAGACTCCTAAACTGGATTTGTTTCTGTTGGGGTCTTGCGTGCTTATTCGAACTCATTGCTCTCACAATCAGGATCCTCTCTGTACTTAAGCTCTAGAGAGTAGGGGAGTCGGTTGGAGGCAATAAATCTTGAGACGCCCCGTGTTCTTTCAGAACCCCGGTGGACACTTTACAGGTTCTTCTTCCGAGAGGGGCTTTAAGGAACCCCAAACCTTAAACCCGAATTGTGGTTTTAGGGGTTTGCAACCTGCTGTTTTTAGGATCTAATTTCACTTCGCAATCCCATGGTCCTTTTTACTTAACAGCAATACTAGTAACAATCAAAGCAGTATAAGCAATGCCAACAACTGTTATTATCATTGCTATTCTACGATAGTCATTACTATCATAAAGTGTAGGCTGCAGACTCTCCTGGCCTTCAGTGTCCCGTCGGCTGCTGAAGCATTGTCTTCTTCGTAGGGGTACTTAGAAATATTTTTGTAATTTTTGGTTTTTATAATCCCTAAGAAACGGCTAAAACTAAAATTTTTGCTAGGGTTCTAAGTTCAGTATAGGACCC